GTCTTTATATTTAAGCATCGTTTCAGCCTTCTTCTGTGTTAGGTTATCGTCAGAAGGGATGCCACGTCTATTATTAGGCAGTGCTTTTTTTTTATCTTTGACTATTAGGTCTGGCCTGTTTGCAGTTATTTTCCTGTCAGTGTGCAATTGTGTGTCCCATATGATTGTTACATCTTCTGTTTGTACTACAGGATCCGGGGTGCGCTGGTATCACTTCTCGTTCACCTCTATCATCTTAAAGTGTTTGAAGATGTTCCACTGAAGCTGCCTGGTGTCCGATTCTCGTCTCAGGGAAAGGAGAGCTCCCCGAGAGAACAAATTTTTTGTTCTTCTCAATGTTTCCATCTTTTGTTTCAGTAATTGTGGCTTTTTTTGTGTCCTTCGATCGGGGCTCTTCATTTGTACTCTGTGACTTTTGGAGTTTTTTTCTTGTTCTGGGGCTTCTGAGCTTTGGTATTTGTTTGCTGCTTTTGTTGCTGACATCTTTTTCACTTGCTTGTTTTCTTCTAGCATTGTCTGTAGTTGGTTTTACCATTTCTTTTTGGGGTGTAGTTTTATCTCTTATCGGGTTTCTTTGGGTCCTGCTTGGTTTTTTATTGTTGGTGTTGGTACTGCTGATGCTGCTGTCGTTGGTGCTGTGCCGTTGTTGTTTCCTAGCTGTTGCGTCTTCTAGGAATTAATAATGTCCACTCTTCAGGTTTCCTGTAATGAGTAGCTTAATCACAGCATATACAAAAACAATCAGCAGGCTAACTCTCACGTGCATCTTTTCTGCGCACGCCGCCATTAGGGGATACCATTTTGTCATAACGCTGTCATTAAACGGCAGGAGCGCCGAAATTTTATTTTATTTGTTTATTTCTGACGGAGGTCATAGGCGTGCGGTGTAGAGCGGAATTTTAGCTATGATTTTCAAAAGGATTTTGATATATTCGTGTTGCCATTTATGGTGTTATCTGTTATCATTCTTGTATATTCAATAATAATAATAAATTAGTAATTATAAACATTATTATATGTAAGTAATAATAAATTAGTTTATTTAAAGCCAATACGACTCTGTCACAAGAAAGAAAAAACCTAAATTATCGTTAATCAGGCCCTGTTTCGTATCCCAAAATGGCCGCTAGTGACATTTTGACGATGAATTCCTTTATTACACGGGCTGGCACTCAAGTTAGCCTGCTGATTGTTTTTGTATATGCTGTGGTTTAATACTGACTTTGTGGGGTATTTTACTGATGACCGTGAGCGCTTTGCTTGTGATGTAACAGTCGCCGTTGATTTTCCTATCTTTAGCGTAGATCTTGAAGTTGAATTTGAGTATTACTTACATTGCTAGTATTTCAACGCTGGTGCCATACGTTCCACTCTGTCTCATTCTATAACAGTAGCTTCTTTAGTCGCTTGACTCTGTGGGACTTAGTAGGAGGTACTCTTTCAATTCGTTCCAGTGTTGCCTTACGTAGTGGCCTGTATCAGATCTTATTTGCATGTGTTTCTCCTGTGTGCTATGTAGGTACAGGCTCACAGCTCTGAACAGATTTCCATCTCCTTCAATTCTTCGTATGTCGAATGATGTGATTAGGTTGTAGTCTTAAGTACACGTTGAGGATTTCGCATGATTACGGTCGAAGACACCTTCAATCTTTTACCGGACGCGGGGACAGGTGCTACTCTAGACCCTTTCAATTATTATTATTATTATTATTATCTTTTTTCCTCACTACACAGTTTCCGGGTTCTGTGATATGTTACCTGAGGAGACACCGGGTGCATACCATGCACCTAGGGAGTCTCTTTTGAAATGATGGCAGGTCTTACTAGATAACTTTCTCACACTATGTGAGCGGTATTCAGCACTACTGCTCTCTGCATACTTAGAATGTTATTAATATTATTATTATTATTATTATTATTATTATGGATATCAGTGGTAGGCGGATAAGTAACTAACCGATGAGTTCTGGTTATGTCCTCTGGGTATTGTTATGGCGTTACCGGTGAAGAAGAAGTTAATGTTACATGCTTAGTGACAATTCAGTATTTTGAAAGTTTCAATAAGGTCTCCCCTCATTCTTTTGTCTCTTAATGTAGTTATAGGTTTAGTTGGTTAAGGTGACTCTCGTAGGAAAACCTTTGAGTTCATTAGGTATCCCTGTAATACGACGCTGTACTTTTTCATAATCATTTCGATGTCTTCGATGTAATATGGGTTCAACTGGTGAACTTTGGCTTACATAATAAGCTTTATAGAGCTTTAGAACCATTTCTTTAGATGGATTTTTGATTAGTAAATTGGTTTTTGTCACAACACTTTTCTAATTGACGTTTGTTGGAGGTGGTAACTAATCAAGTTCAGAGTTTTTCTGGCCGATATGTAGAACTGTAGAACTTTGCCTTTGAGCTCATTCAATGACATTTTCCAAAATATGGTGCACTCTTTGATGGTGTACTGGTTTCATGGAGGTCTGCAAACTGTAGTAGTGGATTGCAGGATAGGCTTGTGTCATCTACAATAGATTCATATTTCGTCTTCAGTTTTTGGAATAGTCACACAAATGCACAAAGAAAAGCAAGGGTCCCAATACTGAGCCTTGAGGTACGCCGCTGTGTACAGAGTATTCAACTGAGAGTGATATTCCTGTTCTTACCTGCAAGGTACGTCCAGTAAGGAATTTCTCAAGACATCGCTTTAAATCGCTTCTGACTCCAAAATGATAAAGCTTGTATATTAAGTACCTACCTATATTGTTGGTATCTTATCAAATACTTGCTGACTGGTCTGTAGTTTTCTTTCTTTTTGTTACCCTTTTTGAATGTAGGTATATAACAACTGCTTTTTTCCAGAGTTGTGGAACATCTCTTGTGGATATTATGTCATTCATAAGTGCTGCCAGAGGCCCCTTTAGAGAGTGCCAGCAATTTTTAGGAAATAGGAGGGATCTCATCAAGTTCAGGGCTGAAGTTCATCCTAGTTACGTAGGATATTATACCTATATAAATCTGGGAATGCAGTATCTGTAATACTAAGTCGGTGGCCTTTAACACCATGATAGCATCGCTGAGAACAACGCCAAAGGGCAATGGAAACTATGTGATTCTGCGCTCACCTATGCAATTTTCAAAAATAGGTAAGAAATTGAATTATGGCCAGACCACTTGATTGAAATTTGTGATTTTTGGGGTGTAGGTTCTATGTACAATACATTACTAGTTACAAAAAGTTTCGCCAATTTTTAACCGAAACAATAATCGATGTTGAACCTACATCTATTTCGCAAAGTTCGATTAGGCAAATTGACCGTATAATTCGAATTCTTATTTTAAACAATTTCGAACCTGTGGGGAAAGGATCTCGTAGACATAGAAGAGGCAGATAATATACCTGCCAAGTTTGGCTTTGACAAACTCTATGCAGAATAATGCATTCCTTATAAGCTCCTATTAGGTATAGGTACCAAAAATGATTTTTTTTAGGATAGGCGATTGAGCCATTGAAGCCTTTAACCACTAACCGATTGAGATGTCAGCTCATACAACGTCAACGTAGCCTATTGGAAGAAGGATGCCTTAAGTCAAATCCCAAGTATCTTGTTGCTCTTACACTGATTCTGTCATTGACGATTCTCTGACACCGGCAAAAGGGCCTGATGATTGATTAAACATGCATCTAGCTTGTTTATGCCAAATGACTGGCATCTATGGCATTGTTGAGTCTTTCCGGATTTCATTTTCCTTTCCACTCATGTCTCAAGAATGTATTTCCTAAATCCGCACGGCCTTGGTCGAAACAATAAAGAGCGGCATCGGCTCATTCCTCCTTATAACAGTCATCTGGGACTTCTCGCTGTAACTTTGGTTTCTCAAATGTTCTCAAATCTCTGTAGATGATGTGATGTTGAACAGTCAAATTATGACAACCCAGTATCCAATCTTTTCTGTGGATCCTGCTCTGCGCTCACGAGCCTGCAAGAATACTGCAACGCCGCTGTATAGTTAGATCTGCAGCGAAGACTGGGAACTTCGCTATGATTTGAATCTCAAATTTCATGGTAGTTGTGAACCTAGAACCGACGTGGTGCAATGTTTCACACTGAGCATCCCCTGAGAAATTTTAGATCGGTGGATTAAAAATAATCATAGAAGCTTACCTGAGCATTTACACACGGTTGAAAATCCCATACTTCCAGATTTGCTCCTGAAGGAAGTTTTGATGGAAGCAGAATGGTTCATGGATGAATCAGTAAGCATAGTGCGGAACAAACTTGCTGGACTATCCAGCTATTATTATAATTTCTTTAATAGCGCATGTAATTCAAGCCAGCCATTCACGAAGACATAAAATTTTACAAGTTTCAATCTTATTCTTAAATTACATATTTAATTTTTGAAACTTTTAGAATATACTTCAATCTTCAATACCTATGCTAAAGCATAAAAACACGTTAAATCATGAAAACCAGTTCTACTAAATCCTTTTCAGGAAAATACGAAACTAGAATGGAGTTTTACTGGAAAGCAAAAATTCTTGATTCCGGTGGCCGACTTCTTCCTTGAATCGCGCAGTAATACAGGTATTTGAGCTACATGTCTTTCTACGAAGAGAGCATAAAATGTAAACAATTTCCACTTCATATACTTACAGTTGAATACAAAACTCTCGGATCGCTGTTAGCTTCATCAATTTGTAGCTCCTCTTCAAGAGAGTCCTTATCATCAAAACGGATTCAAGCAAGGTAAATCTAGAAATTTCCGTTAATGTTTTCCGCAAATCATCTGCATTTTGTTCCTATTTTAAACAAACATTTGGGAAATATTTTCACAGCAGTGTAGTTATTATTAACATATTATATATTATACCTAATCCTGGAAGATGTTTGATTATATCGATGGACCTTGATTGTTCTAACTTTGTCTTTCTCTATAACAAGCTTGTTCGTTTCCATTTAGTTTTTACATCTTTTTAAAAAAGATACCGTCTTTGTGTCACTTTTCACCTCTTGTTCGCTCATAACTTCATCATCGGATTCCAGCAATTCCAATAATTTCGACTCTCGCTTCCGTTCCGGTTTATAATTCATTGCTATAACAGAACAGAATATAAAAATACAGCCAACATTTTTCAGTTGACCTTTTTACAAGAAAATTTGGGTTATGATCGTCAGTCTCGTAGGCCGTAGACGTAATTGGTGTACCATCTGCTACTGTCTAAGATTTTCGTAGTATTACGGACGAGACGTATGCTACAATATGGTTATCGGACGATACAAGGATGTTAAATAAAGGTTTAAGGACGAAGGCTTTCATAATCGGTGTTTGAAATAGTTGAAGATGTTTCAAGGACTGCCGCCGTAGTCGCAGAAGTTTCCTTATGCCATATGATCTACAAGTGCGATACGATAAAAGCATTTCATCATACGGCTTATGACAAGGCTTTTGACTGGACACTACTACCTGACGGAACATCTTTACTTTATGAGACTGCGTGAAAAAGCTTTAAGTAGAGTTGAACCATTTATAACTTAAGGCTGGGTGATGGGTTAAATCGATGGATGAGCACAAGTAAGATGCAGAGAGGATCCAATAGAAGGATAAATCCATTAAATCCTGAATTCCAAGTTGACGAATCGTAATAAGTGTAATTTCATCATAGATACCTACTTACTCCGAATTAACAACTCGAAATTATATTTCGAGTTGTAAAGTCTCCCAAATTGAAACCACCAGCCTCCAACCAGGAAGACACCAATGATTTATAGTTTTTTCTATTATTTTTTTATATAAAATGATGTATAACCAAACAAAAAAATATCAACTTGTTTTGTTTAGTCTATTGTATTTAACACTATTTAACAAACAATTTCAGTTTACATTATAATAATCCCATCCATAATACTTTGCTACCTCAAAGCAGCTCGGTATTTCCATAATATACCCACCTAATAAGTACTTATATTAAAAGCTCCATTTCCCAATGACATGGTCCAGCTCGAGTTCAAAAATCTGGTTTCACAAGTGATTAAATGACCCATCCCTTATAAGATGAAAACTGGACCACTTTAACAGGTCAAAGTTCAGCTGCCACAGGTGAAATCTAAAAGCAAGGGGAGTTTAATGTTATTTTTATACTTTTAACAGAAAGTTATTCCCTCTATCTAAGCCAGTTAGAGAAACTAAGTTGCACAGGCAAAGGAGTATTAAAGCCGGCTAGAACAAGCCCAGAATTAAATTGTTTGTGTCACTGAGGTCCACCCCACTTAATCAACTCGCTGGTGTCCAAAACTTCAACAGGAAACTTTCTTAATCTCGTTTGGGCTTTGGAGGAATCAATAACTTCGAGGTAATTTAGTCGATTCTGTCAAATTCGTTAACCTGACGGGTAATACATTTTAGTTCCTGTTTACTCTGGACTGGATGGCTCAAACTTAATAATCATCGGCCAAGAAGATTCTAATTTATTGCGCACATGTTGGAGAAATAATAATTTTGTATTTTATTAATCGATGCTTTCGGAAAGGTGTTGATAGACATATGGTCCTTTTCTTTCATTTTTGTAACAGATGATAGTAACGGGTTAAAACTTAATTAATTTTTGAAAGGAGTTTTCAATGAAGCGTGGCAATGTCAGCAGCTACATTAATTTATTTTCTATAAAATTCCTAATAAAGAAGATAACAAATTAAAAAATTTACAAATTAAATCATTAGTGTTAACAATATAGTTATTTTCCTAACAAGTGCGCAAAGTGTTACTTTTCCGCACGCAAACACAGTTATACGAACGACGCGAAGCGGAGTTCGGATACGTGTTTGCGTGCGGAAAAGACACTTTGCGCACGTGTTAGGAACAAAATTTTTCCTACGAGCTTCATATCAGGTAGGTAATAACAAAAATTTAAAAAAAAAACGATAATTTGTTTAATTATTTTTAATTAACTTGAATGGAACCTATGCATTTATCAAAAAATTACATAACAAAAAAATAACAGAAAATCCTCGTCAAAGCTGTTCATCTTAAAGCGTTTAAATTTGATGAGAAAGTTTGTAGATTTTTGCATATAAATAGAGAACAAATCTGACAATGTGTCAAATTAATTTATATTTGGTGTTTGTATAGATGTTGGCTGATATAGAAACAGAGAAAAAATTTGTCATCATGTGTCAAAGTCGACAGGTACACTTATTGTTGCTTGACAATTATAATTACTTTTCGGCACTCAGTGCGGATAAGGCCTGTATCCGCACTGAGTGCGGAAAAGTGTAACTTTGAGCCCGGAAATGCGTGCGGAAAAGTACTACTTTGCGCACGCTCGTAGGAAAAAATAATTTTAGCTGAAATTTATTATTTTGATTTACTTTTTCTTAGTTTAAATGTAACTGAGTTGCAGGTAAGTTTTATGCAGAATGCAGAAAAGTTATTCAATAGAATGTGGAGTGCATTGACATGTTTTATAAATCTGGAACTATTGGGATTAATCAAAACTTAATAGTTATGGTAAAAAAGGTTACATTTTCTTCTTTTAAGTTCGAAGGCTACGCTTCAAAAGAGAACCTGATATAAGAACTCGTATCCAATTTACCCAGGAAGTTCACAACTATAATAATGAGGCACAATCATAGTGAGAGCAGCAATTATGCCTGGGGTAAGTTTTGCTGGATCGTTTTTTGTCGGCAAACGGTTATACTGGAAACGTCTCAGATCCTGTGTTTGTTTCACATAGAAACAACGTCGGTCCCGATTTTTCCTTGATGCTACAAACACATACTGCCAGTCACTGGTGATTTCCTCGAAGTACAACGTACAACATATCTAGGTACCTAATCTCCTGATCCAAATCCCATTGATCATGTTCTGGATGGTGCTTCAACAAACAGTTCAGCCTTTGAACTCTAAATCTCCTCGAGACCCTGTAATAATCTACATCTATATACGTCGGTTAATGCGTCATTTTTCAAAACGCATCACATTATCTAAGTGATAAATTATTATCATTGTGCCCTTGAACAACTTTGCTTGGAATAATCAACTCTCTCTTTTCCTCCTCCTCCGATTGTTGTTGTTGAGAGAGATCTCTTCTCTTTTCCTCCTCCTCCGTTGTTGTTGTTGAGAGAGATCTCTCTCTCTTTTCTCCCCCTCTCGTTGTTGTTGTTGAGAGAGATTCTCCTCTCTTTTCCTCCTCCTCCGTTGTTGTTGGTTGAGAGAGAGAGAGAGATTAACTTACTATTTTTTCTTATTTTATAGATAAACCCAATGAACCCGATTTAAAACAAGAAAAATATTTTATATTTTTCTACGATTTTTTTTCTTCAAATCCTTCGTTATAATCTTTTATCGGAAAAACGGGAGTATTTTCGTTCGGTTATTTTCCTTGTGTAACCATCTCTACACCAGGCAACGGACCTATTATCCTTTAAAAACTAAAACAAAAAGAAGAGCACAAACAACGAGGCTTTCGGGCTATCTGGAAAGAAAATACGGAAAAGGCGGATACAATAAGGATAGCTGTGGTGGCTCCGCCGGAGCCCCTAGGGGAATTGAAAACTCATTACAGTCGTCTTTGACCCCGCGACCATGTGCTACCCCAGGGACGGCATCAAAACTTGAAAGAACTACGACACTAGATGAAGATGGAAAAGGAAGTAGAGAATTTTACAGGGACGGAGCTTTATGGAAACGAAATGTTTTAAATATATACGAAAAAATATAGGTATAGTTTTTAATAAAACATAGTATCTTTTAACTGAAACTAATACTCAATGATGTCTTCTGATGCAATATGCTTTACAGTCATTTTGTCGTTAAAATGAACCCACACATCCATCACATAATTCAATACCTACTTATCAAACATTCAGAAATATTAAGACTGCATACAAAGTATCGATATCAATTTACGTTATCCTTATCACTTATCAAATGCAGCACTAACAAAAAAATTATAGCAAATCACCTTACCTATTAATTTATTATACAGGTAGAAAGCTAGGAAAACAAAATATGCACCCCAAAAAAAAATCAGGTGCTCTTCACCTGATTTTATCCATTTTGATGTTAATATTTTGACCCTATACAAGGGTCCAGTGATGCTGCATTTCATTACAAGGCCGAAACTAGATCACCGCAAAGAGGCAAGGGTCAAAGGTGTGAGATTTAGGTGTGAAAGGGACAATGGAGGGATGTCGGGTCCAGCGCGTGGCGGTTCGTGAAGTCCTCTGGAATTTTGGGGTGAATAGGTTTTATAGCCCTTCATAATATTGATAGGGTAATTATAATTAGATTATGTAAGTGAATGAGGAAATTTGGTTTTTTCAGTGGATGTTTTTTTTTTTAATTCTAATGGCATCATATTGCATGCATTTTGCTGTACGAAATATGAAACGGGCCATCTGATTTTAATTAAATTATTTGATTTATATGTATTTTATTTTCCTTTTTCTGTTTAAATTGTACTTTCTGGAATTGCATTCCATTGTACCCATATCCTGTGATTGGTAGGATATTTCCCTTTATTATAGGTTAAACAAAAATCAGGTTAAGGATTTTATCCCGTAATATTGCAGAAAAGTGACGCATAAAAACAAATTATAGGTATATTTATATAATGACCAATTAGAGACACCATAAATACTTAAATCTGAAAATGTAACATCGATTTCTGTGTGTATGTGTGGAATCCATGATCAGGTAAAAATCTTCGCTCTTTGTACACAATAAAAAAATTTATAAACTCTGACTGGTTTGACTCATACTTTACTGCATGTCGCAAAATTTATAAAAGTCTAATACGACTAGCAAAAAAATATTATTACAATGAAAGAGTAGAAGCAGCGGGTAATTCTAGCAGGGAGTATTGGAAAATAATAGGCGAAGTGAGGGGAAAAACACAGCGGAATTGCAACAATCTGACAATAAATCCGACAGATCTTAATCAGTTTTACTGCACTATAGCGAGTAAGCTGACAGATGGCATTGAGCGAAAGAAGGATCCACTAAGTTACTTATCAGAGTACCCTTCTACTGAGACATTCAGGCTTAACCCGACAAACAGGGATGAAATTAAAACGGTTATAAAAACCATTAA